CTGATTTTATGACGAGATCCATGGTCAATCACCAGCATTTCTACGTAGTTGTCGAATTTGTGTGGGGGGTCTTCTTGGTGGGGCATCCTGTCGCGTCCCATCTCAAGCGACGGTCGCATGTGGAGCCTCATCCCAGAGGTGCTGAGGAAGGCTTTCGACATGAAGCAGCGACTCGCCCAAAGATTTGCAGTCTCGGTAGTTCTACAGTCTACAGATTTTGTTTGTGGTTTGATGGATTAGGCTTTGATGTTCAAACGCGTGCGTAGGGATTCATAGGGTAGAGCTTGACGAACGAGGAGTTTCGGCCAGTTTGTCCAGAGCTGCTTTCGGGATGCACGATGTGGCGGACACGTACAGAGCCTACGCTACACGGCTGGGCTTCACGATTATACTGTTGCATCGGGGGCTCGCTTGCAAGCTGCCGACGACCGTCTCAGTAGCACAAATCGTCGTGAAGGAAAAAGTGCAATGAGGGGTGGACATCAAAATGGCTAAATCAAGAGTAAGCAGTAATGGCTACAAGAGCAGACGGCACTGAAGCAGACATACAGACCGGATGTCAGCAAGGAGAGAAACGCCGAGCCACAGCCTCGGAAAGAACGAAACAAGAAGAGAGAGCGAGTTGGCCAACAATAGGGTGGCTCGCAGCTGCACGCTGGTGGCCGAGCACCCCGAGTGCTCGCCGGCGGACACGCAACGGTTACAAAAAAGAACGGAACCTCCATTCCACTTTTGTACTCTCCACTCCTGTCTACTCCTCTCCTCTGCTCTCCTCTCGTTTGCTCTCCTCACCTGTCCATTCCTCTCCCCTCCACTCCTCCCCACTCCTCTCCTATCCGCTCCGTTTAGGAGGCAGCCGGTCGGTGGCCAGTTTCTCTTGATTGTGGAAAGCCATTGACCTTTTCCCAGCAAGCCTGCTAACCGGCTGAGTGCCCGGGATTAGCATTCAAGAAACATCGACTCGGACATGACTGTGGGCAGAAATATAACTATGACTATGACTGATGCCTTGACGTTACTTACCACTTGCGCCGATTCTCTTTACTTCGTATATGTCTGTCGTCATCCACGCCTTTTTAGCTGACAGTGCACTTTAACAGTTTGATGGAGGTTTAGGACCTCCCTAAGCACCGACACCTCGCAAGCATGCACAAGGGCGAGTAGCAGTGTGACTGACGTGCAGGATGCTACCCCCCTGCCCCGTGACAGGCACCTCTCAGTGGTGATCGGTGAAGGGTAACCAAAACGGTGGGGCTGGGGATCGGTGGCGCCAGCATCGCGACCTTCTCTTCGTGTCTTCGCTGGGCTTACCAAGGATTCAGTAAGCTTCAGTGTGAGAATGTCTGGGGCCACACAAGACCGCGCAAGGGCGAAGCGGAAGAGGAATGTCGAGTTGAGGGTTGCAACCACGATCAGGCACAGCCTCATGTGACTATGACAATGACGTACTATTTTGCGGATTCATGTTGTTTGATCCGTGGCTTGCCTGATGTTGATCCATGTGCTTTCTTGTGTTGATCCTTGTGTGCTGTTTTGATCCGTCATCCATGTAGCGATGGGAGACAAAAGTCATGAAGCTTTGGTCACCGGCTGCGTGTCGAAAAGCTTTGTTGCACGCTCATGATCCCCTTCTTTTGAAGCTCTGATCGGAAGCTGCCTTCAGATGCACCCTGAGATTGCGCATGCCTCGGCTCCTACAAGACAAGTGCATGAGTCTCAACAGAGAACGAGACATCAAGATTCCACCAGCCCCGATCAAGGAACATATTGGTCTCTGACACTGGCGCAGAATTGGACTCGCTGCAGGCGCCCAGCGCCCGCGATCGAAGTCGTCCGTTCGAAGACATAGTGGCCCAGTGGCTTCACTTCATGCAACACCGCATGACATGTGCTGCTACAGGCGTACAAGCTACCTCGCAGATCCTTATGGTTGCCGCCCTTGCACCGATGCCAAGTTAGTCTCTGCAGCTCCACATTCGGACACGATGTCTAGAAGTCAAACATGCGAATGGCCAAGCTATGAGTGCTGGATGTTCAGCTTCTCCCCGTCCGGACGAATTACGTCAGCAGCATGTCCTTCTTGATGCAGGGGTTGGTGACAAAGCTGAAAGACGCAAGCTACGAAGTCTGCTTACTGGGCATCTACGCGGATCCCCAGGCCGCATGCCTGCAACTTCTGTTTTAAAGTGAACGCTCTGCTCCGGAGGGGGTGGAACGCCTTTCGTCGCTTTTACGGAGGCACCCCAGCAGATAGATTTTTGTTGTGACCGGTTGCCAAAAACCGGTTACGCTGACGGTTCAGATGGAGATTGTTGCCAGCCGAGAAGAGCAGATAGTTTTTTCCCAAAACAGCTGTTTTTCTCCAGGCACGGCGAGGAAGGCATTTTCGCAGTTTTTGTCCGACGCGGGATTCCTCGTAAATTACAGCAGGTGGGTCACTGTTTGCCTCCTACAGCTTCCACGAAAACCGGCAGACAAGGCGGGGAAACACATTGGTCATTGGACGCGTCGTTCCATACCATTTACGGCAAATGCTGCGCATGTCGAAACGCCGAGGCAAGACGGGAAAGCATGTTGCCGATCACGGCACACACGACAGCATGAAGTGTCACTAGATACCGGAATCTACGCAAGATTCACGCCAAAAACGTATATCGGCATTGCACGAAAATGTTTCTATCTGCACCGTGTCGTAAACATCAAAAAACTCTATCTGCACCGCACGGCCAAAGTTCCGCCCACAGTTGCCAAATTCCTCAAATCCAAAAAGAACTCAAGAACTAACTGCTGGGGCACCGCCGTAATCCTTTCGTCGGAAATCTGCAATGCGATGTCTAAAGCCTGCCAGTCCTCCTGAAAGGCCTGACTGAAGCATGGCTTCATGTTTGGAGGTTCTGATGTTGGGCTTCGGCGGTGTCGGATGTGATGTCACTGGACTCGGAAGGCCATACTGACCCGTGGCATTGCCCGAGAGATCAAAGAAGGAAAGCGCTACAACAGGAGCTCAGCTTGCGGGCCGAAGACCAATGCTTCATGCGCTGCCTGGGTGCTTTCGGAGAGCTGTGAATGAATACCTTTTCGGTCCGAACAAGCGGGGTCTACCACGCAGGGCTGCGGCTCCAGGGTCTAGATCCAGGGTCTCTGTCGGGGCCTTGTGGATCTGCGGCGCAGGAGCATTGAAAAGCTGCGTGCCACCTTCGACAACTTCAGTGCCGCCATCTCCATGGTGGACGGCGCTTTCAAGAGCCTTTGCTGCCATCCCACGCTCCTAGCTTGTCAGCTGCAGCAAGCGTGTTGGCAATACCCCCCGTCTGTGGCTCCAAGTCCTTCTTCGTAACGTTTTCATCACCCAAGGATTGTTCACAACCCCCAGGGCGGTGAGCCCTCTGCGACCTTCGAGGGCCAAGGCGGCGCGCTGCCGCCGGCGCTGGCGGAAGGGCTTGAGGCTTGAGATCGCGGGTGCCCGTTCCTCTCTGCCATGCTGTGTCTGTTTACCCGTCCTGTCCTTGCAGACTGACTCTCTCTCTCTCTCTCTCTCGCAGGGCTTGCAGGGCTTGCAGGAACAGTGACGCAAGCGGAGCAGTTGCCCAGAGACTCTGTGTCAAATCTTGGGGCATCTCGTGTGCTTGCATACAGAGCCACGTCGTACATTTTGTTTTCAGGCCCAGCTTTCAGGGGGTGGCGTTTGGAACGAGAAGTTTTTCAGACACTTGTTTTCTTGAACCACATGAAACTTTCCAACACAACGTCCAGAAGCTGCAAGGGCAGGGACTCTAGCCGGAAGCCAGTCCTAGTAGTAGTAGTAGTAGTAGTAGTAGTCGTCGTCGTCGTCGTCGTCGTAGTCGTAGTGGTCGTAGTCGTAGTCGTAGTCGTAGTAGTCGGTAGTAGTGGTGCTACTACTGGTACTGCTAATATATGTCATTACGACTATACTACGGGTGCCGTTTGACGAAGGTTCGGGATGTGGGGCGGAGTTCGGCGAAGCTTGTCGGAGTGCTGCTGGCTGTTCCGCTATAGCACTGCCCCTGTCTAAACCAAACCTTAAACTTCTAAGCCCCGAAGCTCCATATCCCTAAACCCATGAATCCGGCAGCTGCACTTCATAACTCTTAGACCCGAAACCATGCCAGCTGGTGCTGGAGCTCGCGAGGAATCGGAGTGAGCAGCACTGCACAAGTGCTGAGGGGGTTTCATGTGCGGGATGGGGGGAGGGGGTTGTGGGGTGAAGTAGCAGCTCTGCACGAGTGCTGAGGGGGGTTTCAGGTGAGGGATGGGGGAGATGGGGTTTGTGGGGTGAGGTGGCTGCACTGCACAAGTGCTGAGGGGGGGTTGGGTAAATGGTGAGGTGAGGGGGAGGTGTGCTCAATTATTCAATCGGCTTCTCATGCAAGCGGCCGATGCGGTTTGTTCTTACTGGATGCCGGCCGAGGGTCGTTATCAGGACAATGCAAGAGCTTCTTGAAAGTAACGCGTGCACTGCTCTGGTTGGTCCCCACTCGGGTTAATGCTGGCACCCGCTTAGTTCAAAAGCCTGAGCTTCCATCGCGGTTCTCCCTGTCGCAGGCTTTGGTGCGATCGATTTAAGCTTGTGCTGTGTGCACGGGCACAGCAACAGCGTGCCGAGCTGCATGAAAATGGTGCGACAAGTTTCAGTGGCCGCAGCGGTTTGGAATTTATGGCTGAGTTTGAGATATACGGACAAGGGATAGCTCGGATAGACACCAGGTCCCATTTTCGGCCGCTTGGCGTCCTACTAGATAGAGCACAGCCAGCAAGAAGAGAGACTGATAGTTTAGTTCAGCATGGCTTTTGGCGGATGGCCTCTGCTACGAGACATCGACCCTGAGCTTCTCACAAGCGGGCAGCGAATTTACGACAGAACTGCAGACATCGCTTGTACGAGCCTCAAGGCCCAGAAATTTATTCACTCAGACTCAGGTTTGAACAGGAAGCTCCGGGAACATTCGTGAATGCAAGCCGCTCTTTGCCCACTGGAGCAGGCGACGTTTACATTTTCGTTGAGGGCGGTGAGGATGAAGCATGGATTGCCCGCAAGGCACGCCTGATTTTGTGGGCAAAGGGGCTTCATCTGTTTTGGCGCCTTCAGGACTTTTGCAGGTGTTTGCTTCGACTGCTGCTACGGCAGCAAATGCCCGTCTCGGAGTTTGTGTAAGCGGCAGGTTGTCATTGCTGCTGTGGGCGTTTGGATGTAACGGGCAGTTCCAGAAACTCTGCGACGACTGCTGGGGAAACAAAGCCATGCATGATAATCGGAGTCAAGATACCACTAGACTGGCGAATTGAACGTTCTGGAGTGTTTGGTTTTTCCTGGCCTCCTTCCTCCGTTTGTCATTTTCGCCGACCCTCCCGGCGAGTGAAAATCCCCCCAATGCCGACCTCAGGCGGCCGAAGGAGGGGCAGATCTGGCGGCTTGGCCCGGCTTGGGCAGGGGGACTCTTCGGCGGTTCCGGCGGCTCCGGGGGTCTCCGCATTGGGGCATTTCTGGCAGATGCTTCCACACGGTAAGGAATTCCGAGTTTCATCAAAGCCACACGCGATCAAGACTGTAGGGACGCGAGGTCGCTATAAGAAGCCGGGATGGATGCTGGTGAGTCCGGTTCAAAATCAAAGGCATCTCTGAGCCAGCAAGGTCTGGGCGCAGTAGAGCATTTGCTGTTTCCGTCGTTGTTGTTGTTGTTGTTGTTGTAATGATCATAACGGTGCTGATGCTACTGGGGGTGAGAGGCGTGGGGGTGTTCAGGGCTGGGGATACTGGCCGGGCTGAGCACGCCTTTGCTTTGCTATGCCTTCTTAGGTGCCCATCAAGCGAAGCGGTGGGCAGCCCAGCTTTGCTTGAAAGTGGATAGCATACAGACGCTTCGAGAAGCACACTGTGTAGAGACGAAGGTACGACGATCCTTCTCGTTTGGCTCTCCCGGGTTTGTGCGAAACTACAGCCTTCCGGTTTCTCCGTGTATCTCCGAGTCTCGCAGCGCTTGCAACGTGGAGAGCTGCTCGTGACTAACTTCAATTCGAAGCAGCAGCCCAACCTGGATTTTGCCCCCCCCCTGCTTTAACCGCATCCCGCTCTCGAGGCGGTGCCAGCGCAGGGCTTCACAACTTCCCCGAGGAGGCGCTGCAACGCCCTCCGTTTGTGGGCGAGGCAGGAGGGATCAAAGGGTCGAAGGACAAAGATTGCAGGGGAATTATATGCAAAGCAATGCGGGGTGGTATGGGCCAACAGCTTATGCGAAGTCTTTGATCATGCAATATAGTATAGGGTCTGGATAAGCTATAAACTTGATCGATTCGGTGCCAGCACGCCTTCGGCGCGAAACTCTTACTCCCAAAACTGCAGGCAAACCGCTGGTGCAGGGCCCTTGAAGCTTCGACATGAAGTACTGCAGAGCAGCTTCTTCAATCTACCGTGCACCTGCGCCACAACATTGTGGCCTTGCGGTCTTTTCTTGAGAGGTTCAGACCGTTCTCGACTCCAGACTTCCTAATTCAGGGTTTTACTTTGGGCTGAGAGGCCTGCTGGGCGCTCCTGGCCGACAGCACTGTGTGGACCTCAGCCGAAAGACACTGCAGCTCAGGCAATGCTTCCGTGTGTCGTCAGTCGAGCCAGTGATTGCCTTTGCATTCTGCTTTTACAGGATCGCTGAAAGGCTGGCATGATGGCAAATACTCCTGCATCCCAAAAGTAGGACGGAGTGAGTCCTCCATGCAGCCTCATTGCATCTGGGAGAGGCCCCTATAGCTGCTGCCTCTGCTGCAGCGTCAGCTGCCGTCGCTGGAGCACTAGTGCTTGGACCGAAACTATCCAGAGTCTGGCACAGGTTGGGATAGGGCCAGGAGACGGTTAGTTTTGCGACAGCATGTGCTAGTGTTTGATTTCGAGCGAGGGTCGAGGTATGGTCAGGGGTGGTGTTGTTTGCTTATCACACAAGTGGATGCCCCCAGAAGTGTCATCATCTTCAGCATCATGCTCAACATAGAGTAGTTGGTTGACCGGCTCTTTTGGAAAGGCCAGCAGGGCTCATGTTGCAAGGCTCTGTTGTAGAGTTTAATACTGCAGGAGCGTGCGAACAAGATGCAAGCACAAGCCCACATCCCCTGGTGATGTCATGGAGTGGCCCATCGGATAGCCATGATGAAAGTTAAACTGGCCGCTTTTAGGATGTGTGCATCGACGGCCTTTGCAGAATCAGAAGAGCATTGCGAAATTTCGCGTTGTGCACTCACCCGTGTATTATCCTTCACGGCACAACTACTGAGGCGAAACGATGCCGGGAGAAGCAGCCTGCGGAGGTGGGTGCTTCACAGCGATCTAGTTCTCGAGAGAATCTGCAGCTAGTGACTGCTACGAAATGCAGCCGGGTATGCTATTCTGGCAAGCATTGGGGCTTGAAGGACCGTGATGATGTGCAGTTGTTGGCCTGAATGCAGCGACTGGGGATCCACGAGATTACATGCAACGAATTGGATAGCACAGTCGTTTCCAAGCATCAGACCCGTGCTAGCCGACCTGGTCCCCTCGCTTCAACAAGCACACACCGCAGATACCGTGTGTAGTTAGATGGATTACGTAATTGTTCGTCTTTGGTTGAAATTTGTGCAAAGCCTGGCAACCCTCGCCAGACTGACAAGCCTCGCGTTTTGATTGAAGCCGAGAACAATGCCCAGGGGAGTCCCAGCTGGCTGCAGCGTACTTCCGATTCCGAACCTCCGGGCTCGAAGGCCCAGCCGATAACCACGTTTGGGGTGGGTTGTGGACTACTTAGTGACTACTTTGTCAACTTTGTGGGTTTTTGGGGCGAAGGCCTTGGCGAGCGAGTTTCTTCTCTTTCCGAAGCTTGCCACGCTGTTGAGACAATCCAAACCGAAGAAGACAAGCATGCACTTGCCACTCTTACGCTGCGACACATAAGATTGAATTTGCAACTTCCAAGCAGGGGATCGCAAGCCAGGCGTTGAGATGTTCAGATAGTTGTAGCCGCTGAAGCCGTGAAAAAGCCTTCAACTCGGCTCCTCGCTTGGAACTTGCGGATATCCCTAGAGCCTTGGGAGGTTGCCCAGAGCCTCTTCGACACAACGTTCGGAACTCAGAGGGGTTTGAGACGTCCGTGACTTCGGTCTTGTGGGAGGAGCCTTAGAAACAACATCCGCTTGCGCTGAATTGCTTGGGCTTCTCAGTGCACAAAACAGGAGGATTGCCTTGACTACCTGCGTTCTGACATCGAAAGTCTTTCCAGGTCCACAGTTGAACTGAGCCTGGACTGAGCCTGAAGTCCCGAACCCAACACACAGCCACGCTGCAAGAATCCTCCGGCTGTGCATTGAAAGCAACCCGACATCATGTTTGCCAGAGATCAACCACTGAGACTGAACCCCTTTCAGGACTCCAAGTTGGGCAGCAGCGAGCTGGGTGGGCGACCGGGCAGGCCTTCAACAGTCAAAGTCATGGTGGCCTGCTGTTGCTGTTGTTGCAGCCTCAGTCCTTGCTGTTTGCTGCTGCTGCTGCTGCTGCTGCTGCTGCTGCTTTCTGGTGCTGTTGGTGCCGCAGGCGGTTGTGGTGTCGTGGTTGTCGGTGGCGGGGGGTGGCGGGTGCTGTGCTGGTGTTGCCGTAGCGGTGGCAGCGTTGTCGGTGGTGATTCGCATGGTATGGTTGACATACCATTGCATGGCATCAGGGTGGCATGCAGAGCAGCGGTTTGAGGTTAGGGTCCAGAGTTTAGGGTTTTGGGTGTGTGCGGTTTTGTGGTCGTTCTTCATGGTGCTCGAGTTCGGAGAAAGCACCTTTAGTCACTCTAGTCTCCTGAACAGCAGTGTAACGGGCACCTTGTCTTCTTGACCTGTGGGACAAGATCCCAGCATTTTCCACCCCTTCTGGAGGATAGTGTTGCGAAATCGCTTTGCATGGGTGTAGCGACAGAGGCGGCACTGCGCCTGCAAATGCCGAGAAGTCCGAGAAGAAGATCTTCCAGACATCCTCGGCCCGTGTCTCAGATGAAGGTCACGGTTTGCAAAATCTGAAGTCTTAGTGAACCCGGAATATGCTGGGCTGTGTTTCACTCAGGAGAAATGGCCGGCGAATAACAACAAGTATATAATCCATCTGTGCACCTCGCACCTTGACCCAAGCGGAGCCGAGATCTTCAAAGTCTTGCAAACCCCCTAGCGAAATTCCGTCTCGTGGACGGTGTAAACGGCCTCGATCCGCCACCGGGCGAGCCAGCATGTCACCCTTGATTCAGTTGACGCATGGAGGGTCGTCGGGGCAAACCTTGGGTGCTGCTTTCGACTGATCGGCTTCATCCATCTCTGGCCGATGATGGACACGTAGAAAAACGGTAGAACTGGCAAGCAGCTTCACCCGACGAAGAGCAATGCTGAACGCGAGACTTTCACAGCGGAAGGCACCGTTGTCCTTCACTCCAGCTGTGTGGACTTCCCCAGGCAGCTGAAGAATGGTTGGCACAGATTTGGTTTTCAGATTGGGTCTGGGCTGCGGATTTCAAGTTCAGCATCAGTTTGGGTGTTGCGAGCTTGTTGAAAGCAAGAGCTGAGGATTCTTCTCGAAACTAGCCCCCATCCCCGGGCCACCTCGCCGTTTCAAAACTCTTATTGCATTCCACCAGATTCACGCAAAGCCTCCACGCAACACATAAGCCCCCTTGACTTATGCGGCCATAGCGACCTCCTGTTTGCTGCTTCTCCCCTGTGTCAGCCCTTCGCAGGTGACTGTGCAAAGCATCCCAACCACCTCTTCCCCCGACCCGACGAACGTGGCCGTATCACCGCATCATGCGCGGCTGAGTGTTTCCTTGGAGATGGTGGCTTGGCTGTAGCCGTCGGCCCCGTTCGAAGCACACCCTTGCTAGGGACCGCTGGCTCACTGCGCGTTCCGGCAGCGCCCTTCGCCGCACGATGGCCAGGCACGACTAAGTTAGCGCAGGCTTTCGGGGACCGGTCGACTCGGAAAAGTCGTTGGTGCAATGGTGCTTAGGATTCGTATCAGGGTCGCCTTCACACGTGAAGCTGACGCCATTAGCACGAGGTGGTCTCGTCCTGCCGGTGATTTAAGTCACTGCAGCCCCCCAACGCAACCTACACCTCGACCGAGTCTTCGTCCCGCTGTCCTGGTGGGACTTCCTTCTGTTCACAGCTTTTTCGATCTCTTCTTCCGCCGCACTACAGTTGCTGCTGTGTTACAGTGCAACCTACTTGTGGTAGCCGTCGCAGTGGAGGAGTAGCTTAGTAGCTGAGTAGGTAAACTTCAACATGACCCTACCATAATTGACAAGGTTAAGTTAACCTTTTGTGACAGCCCCTTACGGTAGTCCGTCCCAGAACCTGGACGGTTGGAGATTTGCTACGGTACTGAGCAATTCTTTGGTTGAAGCTGTATACTCTTTAAGTCAACTTTCCAGTCTTGCTAATCCAGGCAGCTTCTCGCCGCTTCCATGGGGCCCCGGAGTGGCGAAGGCACAGAGAGGGACGGGACTTTTTGGGCTGCTGTGTTGTTGGGGAGACAAGGGACCTGGCCCTTGACTGTTGCCTTGGGACCTGGGTTTCAAGCACTTTCGGTTCAATCCCAGCACAGCCCCACTGCCGATGTCTCAGATGCCGGTGCCTGTGACCAGCGGCAGCTTCACGTGGGGCGAACCCCCCAGGCCCGTCAACTCCAGCTCGCCGCTCGCTGGCTCGGTTGTTGAGCGTCGATTCTGCTTGGAGTGACGACAAGTCATGGAAGGCCAGATGTTCAGTGCCAAGTATGCAACACGTCGATTCCGGGGGCGCTCAAGCTTTGATGGACTTTGTCCTGGTGGCTCGACATTGTCATGGTCATAGTTCACGTGAAATAAATCGCCTGACGCTACCGGTAATAGAGCCACCGTGCGACTGAGCGACCGCAGCACAAGCCCGGAGCTCTTGCATCCTCGGCCACCCCTGACCCCCGAAACATCAACCTTCTTGATGCGCAGGCGAGTCATAGCCACTACTCAGCCTGGAGCCCGGCGTTGATCACTGCTTGAGTCTTGAGGCTGTCGCTGCATATGAACGCAAACCTGCAGCACTAAAGGGCTGTCCATGCAACACTTCCACAGTTATTTGTTCGCTTGTAGACCACTCCGGATAGCAACTTCAAGTGGCCCAACCCTGCGAAATGACCCTAAACCGGGACGCTTGTCTCTCTCTTTCTCAAACTCTATCCGCCCTTGTTGCTTCAAGCTCCAGAGGTGGAACGCACAGGCAGTCGAGCCACGGCGTCCTCAAGGCCAGCGACCAGGAAGCTACCAGTTTTGGTATCATGGCCCCGAGGCCATAGCGAGGCGACCAGGGTTCACGGAACGGAGAGCAAGTCAGGGAACCCGCAGCATCCACCATCAGGCAAACTGTGCAAGGCTCAAACAAAGCCCGACAGAAAGATGCTTCCCGTCTTCGGGCTGCCAGGCCTTTTTCGCTCCTCCTCCGAGATCATCATTGGCAACCTGGGAGACAGCGAGGAAAGGGCGCACTGCCAGGCCGCTTTTGCAAAATGTGCGCTGTTTTCGGTTCACAGATAGTGCCGGGGATGCTGCCGACGCAGCGTAGCGCAGAGGAGCTCCAGAGAGGTTAGGGTGAGGGCAGTTTCGGTTTATCGTGGCACTGACTGCGTGCAGATCACACAGCTGAGTGTTGCCGCAACCAAGATCTCGATGACCGCTTCATTTTGGCTGCAATCGCTTTACTGGACTGTGGTACCGGTTCAAATTCCTGAGAAGTTGCAGGGGGACTTGTTGCTTGCACCAGCTTGCTGGCAATCAGCTCCGCCTTCTACCGTAACTCAATTTGCGCAGAAGCCACGAGCCAGCTCACCGCTGACCACTCGCAGCCATGCCGGGCTCCCGGTTCACGCAGAAATTGCGATACTTGCGAGACCATGTAGCCCAGTCGACCGCTTGCTTGTTACAACCCTTCTGATGATGGAGGGCTCGCCCTGGAAACAGGTGGCTCTGGGGGTGAGACGAAGCACCAGCCTCAACCCCTTCCCTAGCCGTACATAAGCGGTTGTGATCAATAACCCCGTTCAAGCCGACGGGTACTTGAGCATAGGCGCACTTGCCAGGCAAAGTACTTTGCAGCTGATCAGTGAAGAGGCAACTGCTACCTGCGATGCCAAAAAACGCTGCACGGATGGCTCCGAGCCATTTGCAAGCTCGCTTTCTGACATGAAGGTTGACGGGCATTGGGTAGGTGTCCAGATTCGTTGCGTGTGTTCAAACGTGGCAACAGCTGTAGTTGCCTGACTTGGAACCCTGGCAAGAACTACCCATGTGTCCTCAATTCCAGTAAACTCCAAAGTCTAAACCGCCGGCATGTCTTGGCTCATTGATGCAAGCGGAACAGGCTTCCCTTGAAAGCCAGCGCTGTAGACACCCGAAGTCTGCATAAAGCAAGACGCGACAGACCTGTATTCCAGTAGTCTTGAGCCTGCATCCGACTTGTCTGTGACTCACCCATAGGGTTTCATCGCGAAGGCTTCGAGAGTCTGCTGCAGACATGCACCCTCGCTACCGTCGTAGTAGTAGTAGAGATTTCAACAATTAGGAATGATATTCCTGTATGAACTTCCTATATTAAATACAAAACAAAACCCGAACTTAATCAATTGCGAAGGTCCTCGTATTACCCCAGAGTTCGATACCAAGCAAAGCTACGCAAGGAAACGCAAGCCACAAGCCCATCCTCCTGGAAATGTTCGAGTCATGTACTCTTGTTCATTATTTTTATTTTGGGATTATATATACATATATATATACATTTATTTACATTTATATATATATATATATATATATATATATATTTAGGTACATATATATATATATATATATATATATATATATATATATTCAACAATCGCGAGCGTAATGACGAGTGGGCTCGTAATCGAAAACGAAAGCCGCTTGCCACTTGTAAAAGCTAATGATAAAGGTATACTGTAGAAGACTTCTACGATTTCCCATTTCTTATACCTGAATCTGAGATGTGTCAAAAAGCATAGGTTCTGCGAGATGTCAAACAGCACAAATTCTGGATCTGTTTAAACAAAACGCTAATTCGCAATATTCGTGCGTAATAACATGTGATTGGATGCGATTTGGCCGATCCGTTAGTCCGTTAGGTTTGGCCATTCCTGCGAAGAGTGCCCACTATCTGACTTGAAGGTTCAGGGGCATTTAAATTTAAAGGTAGGTTTCCAGATACGTTGCGTGTGTTGATACGTGGAAGTAGCTGTAGTTGCCTGACTTGCAACTCTGGCAAGAACTACCCATGGGCCTACAATTGTTGCCTGACTTGCAACTCTGGCAAGAACTACCCATGGGCCTACAATTCCAGCAATCTCTCACTTCTCAACCGCCGGCATGTCTTGGCTGCTTGATTCAAACGGAACAGGCTTCTCGTGAAAGTTAGCGCTGTAGACACCTGAAGTCTGAATTAAAGGAAGATGCGACAGACCTGCATTCCAGTAGTCTTGAGCCTACATCCGACTTGTCGGTGACTCACCCACAGGGTTTCATGGCGAAGGAGTCGAGAGTTTACCGTAGACCAGGACCCTCGCGACCGTAAAGGTTTCAGCAACTAGGAATGACATTCTGGTATCCCTGACGTACAACCCCCCTATAACTACAAAGCGAAACCCGAACTTAATCAACTATGAAGGCCCGCGTATTACACCAGCGTTCGATACCTCGCAACGCAAGCCGCAAGCCCATGCTTCTGGAAATGTTCGAGTCATGTACCCTTGTTCATGATTTCAGGGCCAGGATATGACGAGGATGTTCTGGTACCTTTGACAGAGCCCGTCTGGTCCCTCATGGTGGGTGTGTAGGAAAGATCCAGTGGGCTTTTAGCGCCGTCTGCATTGCGGGTGTTTCAAGCATAGAAAGAAGGTGGTGGTGTAGGGCGTAAGCGCCATGGGCCTGCTGGACTGCTTCTGGCCATGCTTCGGGCGCCAGCAGCCTGGCGAGAAACAGGGTTCATGGTTTGGCGTCTGGGTAAGGTTTCGAGGTTTAGCTATATGGATAGAGTATCAGTTTGGTCGCTGTTGGTCTCCGAGGTTTGGTGCCACTATGCACGCGCTTAGGTTTGAGCTCCGGTCCTTGTCCTAGGTGTGCCGATTCCCTTTCTGCTTTCTGCTACTTGTGGTGTTCGTGGGCGTGGCTACTGGTCCCGGCCCAATTCTCGAATGGCTAACAAGACATGGACTCCACAGCGTCAGTCCCAGATGCCCCTTCACACCCTCAACAGCCCGTATAAAAACTGCACGAACCCCACAAAGTGCGATGACACCCCTGTAAAACGCAGTCCTGGTACAACCACCTTTTGAGCCGCAGGCTTTCAAGGCGACCAAGCAGTGTACCTTGGCTTTGGAGCCAAGCAGTTGGGGTTTTAGTTGGGGTTTTGGGTCCAGGGCGCAGTGTCGACGGTATGTCGGGCTTGTTATACTGGATTTGAGGCTTTTAGGGGTTGAGGAGTTTGGGGTGCAGTTGAGCGTTTGGGGTTTACGTCTCGGCACTTTCGTTTCCTGCGTATCGGTTTTGGGGGGCCTGGCCTAGCATCTGCAGTCACTGTAGTGTTAGTTCTTAGTTAGCATTGCGGATTTGGGACGCAGGGCTGTAGGTGCTGACACACTTCCGCCCTGGAAATCTTATCAGTCCTGCTTGTAGGTGAATCATAGTTTACTTCCGGTTTTCACAGGGCTAAACTAAATGGTGCACTCGGACCCCCTCCTCAACTTCCACCTCCACATTCTTGATTCTTGGGTTTCTAGCATGCAGACCACGCAGCACGAAGATCAGCCAGTTGCCAGAGCTGCCGTCGGCCGCAATACTGCACAGTCTCCCCGTAGTGATGTTTCCGCTGCCCGTCCCCCGGCAGAGCGCGCAAATGTGTCTCTTTCTTGCTATCAGTGCTCGTCGACGCATTCGACGCAAATCGTCGCACCGCAGTTGTTCACCAAGCGTCAGTGTCAATGGTCATGATGTGGCAGTTTCACCTGAGGTAGGAATGTTTTTGCTGGCCGAACCCCGGCGGATAGTACAAATGCGTCTCCTCCCAGTTCTCCCCTCGACGTGGATGCTCATGATGCTGCGGTGTCGCTTCAGCATGCAGGACAGCTCAGAGAGCTGCCTTCAGGTTCCAGTGATGTGCCCCCGCATGGGAATCGGCAATCCGGTTCTGCCTCGGGGGTGGGGTAGCTGCCTGCTACCGCTGCTCAGGCAAGCCCCGACTACTTTGGGATCTTCTGGGCCACGGAGCAAAACTCAACACCTTCATAGTCCCATTACCACAGCCCTAGACATGTCATCCTTATGCCCCGAATTGCAAATCCTGATGCCTGTGACCTGAGACCGCCGAAAATCAAACGCGCGACCTCTGATACTCAGCCGCTAAAAACCGAAATGCAATGCTGGGTTTAAACCCCAGACCCTAAAGCCCTCATGGTTAGCCGGAGCCAACAAAGGCGGAAGCCCCAGCACATCTTGACCCCGGAGCCTTCAATTCCATTTCTTTGAAGCCGAAGCCCTCAAAGCATTTCAACGCCTTCAGCCCTGAAGCCAAAAGCCCTACACTTTGCCCCTAAACGGCCGGAAGAGCCGAAAGAGCCTAGATGGTGAAACCTCGCGAAAGCCAAAAAAGCACAATGCCCTCAAACACACCCACAGCACCAAAAGCCGGCAAAAAGACCCTAAACATTCATCGCCGCCTTAAATGCTGCAAGACGATGAGGCCGATGGCCCACACTACCACCAGACCACTCGCATCATCTCCCGCCTGCCGGTCTTGCTCGAGAAGTTGAACCACTCCAATGTGATCGTGAGCGCTGGCTCCTTCGGCTACAGGGATGAACCTGGCAAGCACGGTGCCCTCGATCTCGGTGTCGCCGGCGACATCATCGAGGCCTGCTATGCTTGCTAGACCGTGCTAGTGAAAAACAAAAGCTTTAATTGGTTTTATGTTAGCATGGTACATTCCATTGACGGCTTTGGGGCCTGGGTTTAGGGCGTAGATGTGAAAGACCTGGCATGACAGGGTGTGGATGGCGGCGAGTGGACAGAATCCTGTTCAAAGCCTGAATCCCAAATTGCTAGGGACATTGGTAGTGCCGTCGGCAACCTGTTGTGCCGTAGATGCGAGAAGCGTTAACGGTGATGTTGTCGAGTTGATCACCGTGGACAAATCGAGGTTTTCTCGTTAAGAATCCTCGCCCCTGTAGGCTGTAACCTCAAACCCTCAAACTGTCCTGTCCCGATCTGTTCATGGCAAAACATCTTCAACTGCCGCGTGGAACAGTAGACCAACGCCATCCGACTCCGAGAGCAGCGAAGCTAGTCATGTTGGGGGACACCTGGATTGGTCACCCCGGTGCTTCTGCGTGTGTGCGTGTGTGTGTGTGTGTGTGTGTGTGTGTGTGTGTGTGTGTGTGTGTGTGTGTGTGTGTGTGTGTGTGTGTGTGTGTGTGTGTGTGTGTGTGTGTGTGTGTGTGTGTGTGTGTGTGTGTGTGTGTGTGTGTGTGTGTGTGTGTGTGTGTGTGTGTGTGTGTGTGTGTGTGTGTGTGTGTGTGTGTGTGTGTGTGTGTGTGTGTGTGTGTGTGTGTGTGTGTGTGTGTGTGTGTGTGTGTGTGTGTGTGTGCGTGCGCCTGCGTGCGCCTGCGTGCGCCTGCGTGCGCCTGCGTGCGCCTGCGTGCGCCTGCGTGCGCCTGCGTGCGCCTGCGTGCGCCTGCGTGCGCGTGCGCCGCCTGCGTGCGCTTGCCGCCTGCGTGCGTGCGTGCGTGCGCCTGCGCTGCGTGCCTGCGTGCGCCTGCGTGCGCCTGCGCGCCTGCGTGCGCCTGCGTGCGCCTGCGTGCGCCTGCCTGCGTGCGCGTGCCTGCGTGCGCGTGCCTGCGTGCGCGTGCCTGCGTGCGCGTGCGTGCGTGCGCCTGCGTGCGTGCGTGCGTGCGTGTGCGTGTGTGTGTGTGTGCCTGTGCGTGGGTGCTTTTCGTTGAATAGGGTTAAGGACTTCGGACATTGGCATGCTTTTGGTTTTTAGAGTTGCTGGGCTGGTGTTTGAGGACGAGGGGACGCACGCGTTCTTGAGCAGCTTGGAGCTGGACATGTCAGATGCGAAGAAGATTTCCCACATCCTCGCCTCAGAGCAGTCGCTATGTGGGTTCTAGAAGGTCGTTTATAGTTTCAGTAGAGTAGAGGAGAGTCAAGAATATAGTAGGTTCTTCAGACACAACAAATAGCGACAGGTTTTTCGGGGCCTCCAAGAACTCAGAGCAGCCCAGGACAAGCGCCATCGAGAGGTCCGACTTCCTGCTGGGTTGCAAGCGCATGCGCGGAGGTGCCAGCGGCGTCGACTTGGCTAGAACACAGATGGAGCAGGAGTGTCAGGGCAAGTGCTTTCCAGGCACCAACACACTTCACTCAGGAACACGCAGCAACCATACCAGGTCCACGTATATCGTTGAAGGGAAGCTTCTCATTTTCGGGACATAAGGCTCTCTGGTCCGATGCTTCAACCTCATTTGAGGTTGGGATCCAGGCGTTGGGGTTGAATTTCAGTCCTTTCAATACTTGCACTGCCTTTTCTGAGGTTTCCTGTTGGGTTTGGGAGGATCCTGAGCCCTAAACCCTATTCTTCAAACCCTAAACCCTCTGCCACCCATCCCGTTCTCCCAACAGCAACGACAGGAGTGGCTGCACAATGCCATGTTGCCGAACAAGATGCTTCTGCACAAGATTACGAGGCCGGAGTTTCCAAAGGCTTTAGAGACCACGATGCGACGGTTTTCCAGCCTAGTGATTAGGTTATAAAACGAGTGGGTTGCAGTTACTGGATTCATGGCAATGATGCTTGACTTACCCGTTATCTATGGAGGGTTGCATGTTCTTCCATAAAACATGCCTCGCTCTCAACCTGATGTCTTGCTTTCAGTGGAATCCAGCTGTGCTCAAACGACTCTTGCGTCACCCTGAAAACCCCAAGCGTGAACCGTGCTGAATCTCATGCACCAAGGAGTCTCCTGAGAGCTGTTTCTGTCCTGAAATCTGTCCGCGCATGCGTTCTCCTATGAGTCTTCGGATCTTTCCTGTTACCTATCCTGCCATCGGCGGTCACGGGATTGCAGTCGTTGCTGTCTCGGGGCTATCAACCTGCCAGAGGTGGGGAAGCAACACTAAAGCCTAAACTTCTCAACCCATCAGCCTGGACAAGACGCCCAGGTTGCTATCTGCGGAGCGTCTTGCAAGCCAAAGCATTCGCAATTCCCGGGTGATACAGAAACAGGCTTGATCAAGGGTTCGAGGGCAGGTTCGAAGCCAGGAGGTTGGACCAGCATTCTGGCCGCTTTGGGTTTGAAACAGGATTCTGCATGTCGGTGGGGTGCAGTACCTTGCCTCCACTTGCTTGTGGAGTGCTGGATGCAGCGTGCAGCGGACTTTGCGATTCAGCAGGTTTCGATGGAAAGGGTTCGTAGATAGATGGTGGCTTCATATTGCATGCGGTTCCCAAGTGCTGGACTTTGTTTCTCGGGCTCTAAATTAGCAGTTGTTTAATATAATTTAGCAGTATCGTGCAACTGATTCATGGCATCATCGCAGACTCCAAATCCTTTCTAACACACAGCAGTTGCATCCATTTCGTCACAACCTGTTGAACTGTTCTGGGGCTTTTGCTTGCGTAGATACCTCGCAGCGCAGGACTGCCCTTGGTTATCATAGGCTTCATAACCGAGTTGTCAGTGTTGTACTGGTAGCCCTACTGCCTTCTCTGTTGGCTTCTTTATCTCGCGTCAAGAAGAGTGTTTTGAACGAGCTCCACCACCACCACGGCTCTCCAGAGCACTCCGCAGCGCTACATTGCACTCTGTTCCGAATATTAGCCATAATCGCACGACTGCGGCTCCAATCTGTATATAAACCTTCTTAAACCTGATCAGATGTCGGAGACTTCAAGTGGCTGGAATCCCGGCATCGACGACTTCAACCGCGACGAGCCTGTCGTGGAGGCTGGCATGGAACGGGCTGGCCTTGCCTCACATGCAGCATTTCGCTCGTAGGGCTTAGGGTTCTGGAGTTCCTTGTGGGTTTGATTCTCGACTCGATGCTTTCTTGCAGTGGAGATCCTTGATTCTGAGAAGGCTCGCTTTGAGGAGACCGACGACATCCAGATTCACGCAATTCAGAGGAGCAACCTGCAGTCATGGCAGCAGGCTGTCACGATGAAGGACAGGTTGGAAACTGACGCATGGATGCTGTGAAATTAACCGGGACAGTGTAGGCGTAATAAGACGGCGCATGCCTTGCACCTGGAGCCTTGGAATGAACAAATGAGCTCTCATGGAAAGCTGGCCAGACAGAACATTACTGGTTGTCAGGAACTCATGTAGGAGCTGGAGCACGATGCTCTTGAGTTGCCTGTTGCTCCCCGAAAGCCCATCTACAAGCGATGCACCCCAAAACCCTCCTCAGCCCTCATTTGATACAAACCCTATTCTATATGATCAGAGCAGAGCATTTCAGAACATGTGGGACCTGCACTTCTCCAGGTCGTTGCCAAGAAACTTCATATGATTGCTTGACCCTAAAATCCTAGAAAACCTCTTGCAAAGCCTTGCAACACATTGCGGTTCTGGCAACTTTCAACTCAGCTCCTCAACCCTGAACCCTAAACGGAACAGACGGGTCAACACAAGAAGCCCACAAACCCTGAACTGGTCCAAGAGCCTCGGCCAGTTCTGTGTCATAAAGAACCCGGTCCACAGGAGTTGCTCACGATTCGCAGCGACCTCCCGCGGGTTTGCCACGGTTGGAGGAGTGACGACCCTAAAGTACGAGATCTTCTAGGACTTTACTCGGAGTTATCAGGATTTCAAGGGAATAGAGTCTTTTTATCACCTCTCAAGGCTACTGCGTGTTGATACAGCAAGTCGGGAAAGCTATATGGCACATGGGGACGCTTCGTTTGTACAGTCGGGGCGCTTGCTTGACTGGTACACAAGGGACGGTTCATGTGGGACCCTTCCTGGTACATAATGGGTGGATTGACGGTACCGGTGGGACGATTCTTTTGTACACATTAGGTGCTTCGAGGCAGTACTGCGGCACGCACTTGTCGGCTAGATACAAAATTGTCACGCCAAATGTAGTACATTTCAACCTGCACCAGTACTCCTTGTACAAGGCCATGCGTACCCCCTGTCCTGTGACATGTGCTCCCCTGGTACCATCCCACGTGTACTGGTACCCCTGGTACCGTCCCAGTGCACCGTCCCATGCGCACCCCTCGAACTTCATCCTCGTACCGGCTCCGGCACATCCAGTAGAACCCTCGGTCTTAAGTAAGGATGTCATCATCAGATCTCAACAGGTTTACAGGGTGCTATCAGGTTGTTTCACAAGGTGTTATAAGAGCTTGTTGGGAATTTTAGACGGCTTAATCCCTTCTAAACCTACATACACATTTCGCTATAAACCCCGACCCCCAAACACCCACGAAGCGCTATGCGCCTCCCACCTTGATGAATACCCTCTGGAGGAGCGAACGCTCTCACCATCTGATGCTCGAGAAGTTCAACCTGCACTTGAGCAGAAAGGTTCTGGATTTCGGACGGGGTTAGGAATTGCCAGTCTTGCCCGGTCTCGTCTGACAGTCATTTTGGCAAAGCCTTTCTAAATGAATGTTTGGTGCCGGACCGACATCCGGCACCCGGCACCCGCCAAGACAGCCTCACGAGAGAGCCTACATGCAACACTGTGCCTGTGATCCAAGTCAGCTTCACAGAAGCCAACATGATGGTCGACGTCCGACATGACATGACAGATAGCCGATCAAGCCTGGACCCCCTGCCCAAGGCTCCCATCAGGGTGGCATTGGGGTGGATAGCCTGCTGTGCACAGTGCGAGCGTGCCCCCACCACACTCAAAACCCTCAACGACCCTATATCTAAACCCTGATACTCTAGTCTGAAGACCCTCACGTTTTGAGCCTGCCATCCTCGTGCGGAATGGAGAGAACATGCAGAGACAGCCCTTCAGGCTCGAAGCTCTAGGACTGAGGCTGAGATTTCGCAACACGTAATCTTTAAACCTTGACCCATTATAAAAGACAGGGAGGGTGTTCGAGGTTGAAAGTCTGTCAGTTTCGAGTTTCGGGTTGCATGTTCTGCTCGAGTGCTTGGGATTTGTGTGTTAAGGCTCAGGAAGTCCGTCCGCACAACCCTAAGCGGGTCCCGGCGCCGGGGCCCGCTGCTGGGACCCGTGCCGGGACCCAGTGATTTTAGGGTTTAACAATAGCAACTTAAACCTGTACGCATTATGAACATTAACCATGTAAGACAATTTAAGATTTATCTAAATGACTTCGGTCGCCCAGGTACGACTTCGTGTCTCGGCTGCTGACGGACAACCAGGCTCCCTCGAAGCTGAAAGGTCAATAGCGACAACCTCGAAACCCAGGCACTACACCCTGATTTCGTCATGTACTTAACGTCACACTTAAGCTCCAATGCAGGGCTCAAGCCCCAAATCTTATCACGAGCGCGTGCGCGCGAAGAAAGGGGTTTTCACCCTGAACTCAAGGAGAGTATGCCAAGAATCACGGCTATATCACCTTTCAGCCCAAGGGAATAGGCCGCAACACACAACGCCCAAAAACATCAAGACCGACCCCCAAAACCACGGAAGCTTCAAGCCCGAAACCTTAAGCCTCACCAACCCCAAACCCAAGCTCGGGAATCCGTATATATATATATGTATTTATTTATACATATACGGTATATGTTGAAGTTGAAGAATCTCGAAGATCCTCCATGTAAAGTTAATCTGATTGCGTAGATGAAAAGTTACTGCCAATGACTTTGGCTCAAGCATGAAAAAGGCATCTCTGAGCGTTGCCTTTGCGTTCGGGGTAGGGTTCCTCTGTTGCGGTTTCCCTTCCCTTCCTTCCCTTTCTTACCCTAACATAGCGTGTTCTCTGTTTGGGGTCAGAATAACTGGTTATCAGCCGTAGTGCTCTTTTGGGTCCCTTCGGTGAACTTTAGGATCCTCGTTGTCCCTGTTCATGTCCGATATCCCTCCTCGTGTTGAGGAACAAGGTCCTCGGGAGGACCCCCGGCGCCTCGCCGCAGGATTAGGGCCGGGCGAGCTGCGCAACGCAAGAGAAAGGCGTACATTCGCTTTCTTTTTGAGACAGAGCCGGATTTGAGTGAAGACGCCGTGCTGATTAGGCATTCCGACGGTTCGAATCGTCCTCTTTATTCACGCCCGGGTTGGAGTCCGGAGTCATTAGAGGAAGACGACTTGCCCCGTCCCGGTTCTTCTTCAGTGGAAGCTAGGCCATCTTCAGTACCCAAACCTTCATCTGCGTTGCCGCCTAGTGAAGAGCTTGTGGAAGTGGAGATTGAAGAAGAGGTCCCGGAGACTCCAGAGCCTTCATCCTCTTCGAGGTCTATCCCTAAGGCGAGTGCTGAGTTGCCAAAGTTTGGAAGGTTGGAGTTCATCAATCCTCCGCCTCTTCCAAAGCTTCGGCCCACTCCGAAGTTGAGGCCAGCAGTGCCGAAAGCAGCTCAGGAGCTTCCAGTGCGTGAGGTGGTTATTCCGAAGGCTTCTATCCGGCCGAAGCAGAAAGCTCGTCCTGCTACAGCATCTTCAGAAGGTCCACCGCCGAAGAGTATTCCCAAGGAGCCGTCGTACCCTCCTCCTAGAGTGGTGGAAGAGGGCTACGTCGACTCTAGCTCTCTCGGGGGAGGCACGCTTTTGATCTCGCCAGCTTCTAACCGCCGCATTCGCTTGCGTGACTCGGTTCGTTGTGCCGTACAGCGAGTGGTTCTTCTTGACTTTCACAATACCATCGACGGGGTATTTATTCCAGGTCAGAAGCGCCCTCATGCGATCCCGTATCCGAGCAACAGGCCGTCTCTTATTCAGAACGTGATCTCGTGGATCAAACGGCCTATCTTGGCGGCGGAAAGCAACACCGGAGGGCGTACGTACATCGCTATTTGTTCGCATATTCATCAGTCGCTGGCTAACGAATCTTGGCTTCGCGACACTATTGTGAACAGCTGCGAGGACGTCGGCGAGATTTCGGAGCGGTGCCTCCTGGATCTTATTATTATTACACGAGAACGCACGGGTGCTCTTGGAAAGCTTGACGTCAGTCGAAAGGTCTTCCCAGAAGCTGAGCTGCTCATCTTGGACGACAACCCGGGTGTTGTCAACGAATTCGAGAGAGCTGGCCAACGTGCATTTCAGATTTTGCTTCCAAGGCGCGAACGCAGTGCTCTCGGCAGGGCATACGCGAACGTGTATGAGGCAGAATCAGCGGTCCTAGATTGGGTTGCCCGTCCGTTCTGATTTGTTTAAGAGCCTGGTGGTTCGGCTGCTCCTAGCGCCAACACCTTGGTTCTGTGCCTAGTGTCTTGGCCTGGTGGTTCGGCTGCTCCTTGCGCCAACACCTTGGTCTCGGCGGTGATCGCACATCGGTTGTGACTGTTGAGTAAGATCGGGTATTAGATTAGGTCATAGTGGTGATCTTCTGTGATCTGATCGGCGCCTTGCGCCACTGATCTTTGCCAACTGTTCTCAGTCTGTTCAGCGCTTTAGCGCTACTGACTGGCACTTCACCTCCCTCTGGCGGCCTCGCTGCAAAAGGTTCTCGGTATCTCAACTCGTCACCATGTCACAATCTCAATCAACCCCAACTGACCCAAGCTCCTTGCTTGACATTTCCAGTGCCTCTGCGGCCGCGGTTCCGGGTATGAGGGATTCCTCTTGTGCATTAGGGGGTTCAGAGAGTAGTTCTGCCTTAGTTGAACGTGAACGCTCTCCTCCCGCCAATCGAAGAGCTTTATCCCGAACTCCCAGGAAAGCTTCAGCTCCTTACTCGGCTGTCAATGTTCCTCTCGATGATCCCGGTGTCCCTACTGTTGTTCACAACCAAATGCTCAACATAGGAGTAACTCCTCGGCAAGTCCTCGCCGCTCAGCAATTTGCTGCTGGTGAAGCTGCCAATCGAGTCGCCGCCCAGGCGGAGCTGCTACACCAGGCTTCTATCAATGAGGTACAAAGCCAAGTCAGGGACGTGCTGAACGAAGCAGGGTGCGTTGACTTCTCAGCTTAATCAAGTCCGAGTAGAGTGTCAGATCAAGGAGAGAGAGATTCAGAGGCTCCGGTCGGCTGCTCCATGCGCCTCGACCTCCGGATCCCCTCCTAAGCCTCCAAGGGCTCATGCTCCGCCCGTTGGTTCTGGGTCTGGTGTTAGTGAAGCGTCATGGACTCACCTCGAAGCTTCCGACCCTCCCACTGAGCGTCTGCTGTACTCGGGTACCTTTGTTCCTCCGCCCGTCCCTTCATGTCCTGTTCCCCCTCAACCTACGTCACCTGTGTCAGACCCTCGCGTGGACCAGCTGATTGAGGTAGTTCAACAGTTAGTTCAACAGGTCGGTCAAAATGCTACGGGTATTGTTGAGACTAATGAAGATGATGAAGTTGAAGAGCAAGAAGCTGTCAAAGAGCTTCGGGAAAAGGACATTGTTGATCAAAGGGCTCTCTTGCATCTCAAGCTTGAACCGGTTCCTTCAGATGCGGCGAGTTTCCGAACTTGGAAGAACGGTTTCAAGGTCCAGTTGTCCAAGCTTGACACTTCAGGTCAAGGTCTTGTGCTGGCTTGGGTTTCTAGGGGTTTTGATGCTGAGAGAGCTGACTTGCAAGATTGGGAGCTCCTTCCTCGTCTTGATGCATGGATAGCTGGTGAGCTGTCATCAGGGCGTGTGCTGAAGCAATCCTCGGAACTTGAGCAAGACATCACCGCTTACATTGAAAGGTGTAGTCAACTTGGACAGTCGCCCAAAAGGTCGAGTGATGCTGTCTATCATCGCAAGGCATTACGACCTCGATCGGGTAAGAGGTTCTGTTTTGACTGCATCAACATTGTTTCAGATCGAGCTTGGCGGAGGTTCCATAAAGGACTTGAGGGACTTTGTGAATCGTATTCGCCTTGTTCTCAGTGCCATTCCGGTCGGGCAAAGACCTGATGATCGCCTCACCGGAGAATGGCTCTTCCATCGAGCGAAACACATTCGCAAGCTTGAGCGTGTTATTGAAGACATCAGAGAGTCTGGGGCGACTTCGTATAGGCGTGAGTGGTCTTACTTGTGGGATAAGATTCAGGATCTGATTGTTCAGGATCGTGAAAATTCCAATGCACAATCTGTGTTGAAGTCTCTACAGTCGGCCACACCTGCTCCGAAAACGAAAGCTGTCCCTGCTGTAGACGGAGGGAATGGAAAGACGAAGGCTACACCTCCTGCTGCACCTCCCAAAGGTGCTCCATCCAAGGCTGATCCTCCTCCTCCTCCGATCGCTCCTGGTGCCCCAGCGCCCAATGCAAATGCGAAGGCAAAGTCCAAAGCTAAAGCAAAGGCGAAGGCTATGACTGATGCAGAGAAAGCCAAGACTCCTTGCATTTTCTCCCAGATGCCGTCGGGTTGCATTCATGGAGACAATTGTAAGTTCAGTCACAAAGCCGCTGCACCGAAATCGAAAGCTAAAGCCAAGGATGGAGCCAAGAGCAAACCTGGAGCAGTAGCCAAGGCAGTCGTTGCGCTTGTTGCTGCCTCTAGCTTGTGTACTCCTGTCATCTCTGCTGGTCCGTCTTATGCTGTCGAGTGGGCTGCTGACACAGCAGCAGGTCGTCACTTAGGTTCGGCAAAGGCTTTGTTTGATCAAGGGATTCCCCGTGACTCCTTTGATCACTACTTAGGCGCATCTAGATCCCCTGTGACTTTTCACACTGGTGGTGGTCCTCAGCCTGGTGTGCAGACCCTTGGTTTCGAGTCTGACAACATGGATTTCGCGAATCATTACATGTTAGACAGTTGCCCTTTGGTCAGAAGCACAGGGATTGATGTTGATTCTGGGAAAGCCTTCATCTGGCTGCCCGGCAGTTTACCTTTCTTCGTCAGCGATATTTCGCAACTCGTTGTGCAATGTCCTGAGAAGTTTCGACATTATGCGACTCGCGTAGAAGAGCATGTTCCGATTTTCACCAGTCAGGTGAGGTTTACTCACGGGCACCAAACCCTGTAAGTGACCTTTCAGGGGGGTGTGAGAGCGAGGGTTCGGCTGCTGTCCCAAGCGCCATCCGATGCTCAGAGAATCATCCTGCTGAAATCCGAGCCCGGCAAATCTTGAGTTCTGGCGGCAACATCAGCTGTCGTGCGGTTCGCAAATTGTTTGGTCTTGTTGACAAGGAACCTGCTGCTAGAGGTGATCATGGGGAATCGTTCTCGACTGGACTTTATCGGTTGGGTGGAGCTCTTGGACTTAGGACTTCAGCCCATCAGTTTCCCTTGGTTATACCAAAGCTCTCAACAAGTTTGCATGTTCAAAGCTTCCCGGCTTTGGATAC